TCATGCCCACTTTGTAAATTATGCACATGCAGAGTGAGTAAAGATGAAAATACATGAAGCACATATGAGTAAACAGTAGCTATTCCTTTACCTGGGTTTTTCTCTATGCTCAGCTTCACTCTTTAAGTGATTTGTAAATGTCTATTAGTCCTTCACAGAGATAATGAGTCTTTTTTTCAGCTTGTTACATGCCAGGCATTAGAATGCTTTGAATATGCCAGAACATTGCGGAAGAAAGAGGAGTTTATCTTGTGTAAGTTAACCTCTTTTAATTCAGTGTTGCAAGTAACTTCACATACACATCTTACAATAAAAAACACCTAAAAAACACAGAGTCAATCATAACAGAGCAATGTTGATAGGCTTATTAAAAATTTGACCTGCAAAATGGAGTATTGTATTGGAAACTTAGGATAGCCATGGGGAAAAAAAAATAATCTCAAACAAAGGAGCAGATGTACAGCTAGTTCAGAGAATTTATTGGTTTAGCTTTGAAATCAAAATTAGCAGCAAAAGGAAAAGGTTCTTTACTCAGGAGAATTCAATTTATCCATTGTTTTAACATTCTGTGCCCTAAGCGAAAGTCACAGTTCTTTTTCTTCAGAATAGATCTGGCAGATTCCAGCCGTAGAGTCTGTGGTTTTCAAACTCAAGAAGCTGTAAATTTTATAACTCTGCGCCCTGCGGTCAGAGCTGCTGAGTGTTGTGTCTGAAGTCAGGTGGTTGGTGTGTTAAAGGTAGACATTAAACAGTTCTATTGAGGAACTGGAAATGTTTAAGGAGGTTGTTTGCCAGCTGTAAATTTGGAAGCAAATGCCAGTTGGCTGAAAAGATGCTGGAATGCATCCAGTTAAGTAGACTAGCACTGGAGGTCTTTCCAAATTTGTAGGTCTGATAACTTGGCTGTATATGCAGACTTCAGTTATTGGGTTGTTAAGGAAGGGCTTTATAATGAATGTTTGAAAATACGATAGAAAACTTTTTATATGCTCATTACTTTGGCAAAATTGCAACCTTGCGATAGTATTGCATTCCTGATGAAAACTTGGTTGAACATTATACATTGTATACTATTTTTCAGCTGAGTGCCAGGGACTTTAAAGTGTATGGTTTTGTGCCCTGCAATATTTTGTCTCTGATATTTTCCAGAGTTTGATTTTGCCCTTTTTCCACGTAGCTGGGCTGATATAGGAGGAGACACCTGACTGTGATGCAGCTCTTGCTTTGTAAACATTCTCTCTTGTAGTCTGGGTGGGAAGGGGCTCTAGCTTTGGCTGCCGGCCAGGAAACGGAGAGAAGTTCACTGCATCTGCCTATTATAATTGTGACTACTTTCCAATGTGCAAGAAGGGGGTGTAGCCCAAGGTCTTAAAATGTGTATGGCCCAGCTTGCCTGTGTGCAGGATTTACCCCACAGGCACTCACTTAGCTGGAGGTTGTGAGTTTCTTACATCGTTTTGTGGTTGTTCTCTGAAGTGATAGATACTAACATGTCTTGTTCTAACTCGTCCGAGATCATTTCCTCTTTATTCCCTTCACTCTGTTGAAGCACCAGGAGAATATTGCTCCAACAGGAGTAAAACTGGTTGCCACTTTTATCTTCTCATCCTCTTTCTTTCGTGTTCTGAATTCTGTGGTTCAGGATGCATTTGTTCTGCTTCTTCCCTCTACTATCACAAAGTAAAGAGCACTTTCAGAAGACAAGTGTTCAGTCTAATACTTCAAGATATTTTTATTAGAAAAGTTTTAAGCTTTACTTGTTTTTTGGCCACTGACATAGCACAGTTTTATGACAGTTGTCAGAATCAAATAAGACAAGGGCTAACCCTTGCACAAGGTCTTGAGGTATGGACAAAACCTCCTCCTCTTTTGACACATGACTTACTAAAAGGCCAGATAGAATTTCAGCCTCTGCACTTGAAGGAACACAGAGCACCTACTGAAATGGGAGAAAGTGCATCCTCATAGGACCATGAAAGAGGAAATCTGACTTTGACTGTTCATACATTAGCCAGATCTTTTCTAACACAAGAAGAAAATAAAGCTACTCTCTGAAATTGTTTCTGGCCGCCTGAGATGCTGAGATCTGTGCTAATACCTTCGACTCGTAGGACCTTCCAATGAGTAAAAGCAAATTAAAGCATTTTGAGGTCTGGTCTGTAAGAAGAACCAGGAAAGGAATTGTTTTAAGAATAGTTTTCCTGAATATAGTTTTCCCTGCTTTACCTGAAGCACATGTTCTGAAACTTTACACATTAAATATTTGTCTCAATTTGTCCTTAAAAGAAGGACAGTAAAGTGAACACATATTATTGCAACCTGTTTTTTCTAGAAACTCTAATGCCCATGGACTTGAGGTTCAAGATTCAAAGTGACTGTGGAACAGCTGTTTTAACAGAGTTGGACTTTTTGCTATCAGCAGTTGGACAGCTTTCTAAAAATAAAAATTTCTATAGAAGAGATACTTTCCTTCATCTGAAGGGGTTGTTAAATCTTATAAAACATTTATATCAGATAGTGATGAATAGCCAAGGAAAAAGAAAGGTCCTGAAAAAAGTTACACTGGTAACGATATGAATAGAGCATAGCAAATAGGGCACAGACCCACACATTGATGAATGAGCGTGAAGTAAAATATGGAAACTTTGTAATATGCTCGTTAGTGAGCACCACGTGCTGTAAGCACTGAGCACGGTAGAGGCTTTCTGGAAAGACAGTATGAGATCCAGAGATTCAGAGTGCATCTGTGCAGGGCAGCGTGAAGTTGCACAGCAGTCTCAATTCTAATGTTTCCTAATTTCAGAGTGTTTGATTTTAATCCTGTTCTTGTAAAATAGTTGTGATACATACATTCATATATGACTCACCCCTAAAGCAGATATAGTAAGATTATTTCTATCAAGAATATTCAGTAAAAATGGAGAGGTCAGTAATCATTCTCAGATCTATTTCTTCCGTAATCTCACAGGTATTCTAAGGTGCTCATGAATTAATCTTGGATGGGTGAGATGAAAACTTTCACATGAAATACTTTAATTTACTTGTGCTAGGAGGATCTTGTAACCTGAATCTTCCAATGGGAAGGCATGTACTTCTTTTGGAAGTATTTTGCCTTTTACGGTCCCAATTGGTATATTCTCAGTTTGGCCCATTATTAGGGTTCACTGACTGAAATAAAATCTTTGGTTACTAGGAATGGAAAATATAGCATCTGTTTTTTTTTCTTCTAGAAAAGTAAACAGTGTGCAGTCCAGATCCTTCATGTGTTCAACATTGTTGAGCTGGAGGTCATGTAAATTTGGTCTGAATTTTCACTGTCATGGGTAATTTCTGTTTTACAATAGGTACATTTTCAGAATACTTTAAAACCCTTGGCTACATTTCAAAATGTTATTATATTTCTCGGTCTTAAATGACACGAATGCAAGTTTGTTGCTATTTTATGAAACCAGTCTATACAGAGATCAGTTCCACCTACATGGATTGCTTAAGCACTCAGGTTAGACATCACGTGAACTTACCTGATATTTTATTAATATCTTTGAATGGTAATCATTAACATAGACTGAAATTGTACTTGAAATGCTAGTGCTTATCAAAAAGCATATTTAGGAACTGAGGTTAACTGCACCTGCTCTTTATATTACTATGACCAGATTCATACTGGTGAAGAATTAAAACTTAGTAGAGCTCTGTAACTGTAAACTCTTGCACTTTTTCTATTAAGTATGAATATAAATGCACTTTGCTGCCAAAAAGTTTCTAAAATAAATGTTGGTAAATAGAAATTTCTCCCCAAATTTAGGTATGTGTCAGATGTTCATGCATCTTGCATTGATTATAATTCAGACTTGAAACGAATGCAGTGAATTTTAGAAAGTTGCCTACCTGAAAACTACAATATACTTCACCACTAAAATAGTACACCCTCGAGAGCTAGGCTCCCTGAGTTAAATGACAAGGATTGTTATTATAGTCAGTAATCACACTTTCTATAAATTTTCTAACACGTTATGCTAAAATCATGAATAAAAGATTTTTCCAATCCCTTTTCCCTTGTAGACACCCAGGGATGGGTGCTCTCCTGGACTGAAGCTTTATCAGCTTCAATCATCATGAGGAAAATACCAGCTGAGGGTCTTCCAAACAAAATGTATCACCAGTCCGCATAGAAAAACGTTTTTTACAAGAAGAAAATAATACTATTTTATACCCTCAGCCTCAAGAACTGAGGAAGCCATCTCTAGCCACCTCTGTTCCCAGTCCCCACACTGCTATACTCCTGCTTTGCTCAGGCTTCTTTCAGTAAAGCAATTGAGTCCTGCTTACTTAATGGGCAAAGGCTTCTTCATTCATAGAAGGCATTGTGGAAGAATCAGCTAGCCTGGACTTTGCTTACTAAGAGAGAGGAAATTTCTCCCACCCCCAAATCCTTAATCCATCCACTGCACTGCCACAGGCAAACTCCAGCACCTGCCAGCGAGCCTCCAGTGAACGCAGGGATCCACTTGTTAAGGGCCAGTTGCAGGAGCAGAGCACTGAGAGCTGGGGCAGGGGCAGCAACTAATACTGCATTGCCAAAAGTCATTGGATGATATTTCACATCTACTGAAGGTATTTCTGCTTCACCAAACCAGTCAAATACCTTCTGCTTTAAAGGAGTTTTATGCTGAACC